GCTCCCCGGCCTGCCTGGAGAGAGAGAACCCCCCAGAACAGACGGCCGTGACTGGGAGGAAGGAAATCCAGGTCACCGCAGCCCAGAGCCCTCCATCGCTCCTGTGCGAAGGGACCCCACGTGATGGTATGTTGCTAAATGTTGCCTCCATCAGGGCCAGGCAGACAGCAGGGCAGGAAGCAGAGTGACAGGTTAGGGGGGAGCGGGAGTCAGCCGCTGGTACCGCAGGCGCTGCTCCGTGCTGGGAGCATGCTGGGCGCAGGGACAGAGTGGAGCCGGCTGGCGGGGCAGGGGCAGGCTGCGCGTCCTCGTCCTCTGTGTGACAGACGGTGTGGGGGGAGGCCTGGGATCGGCTCAGAGCACTGGGCCTAGGAACTGGAGCCTCTTCACTGACCCTGGGCACCCTGCCCACCCCCTGCCCCAGAGCACCCAGCTCGTTCGAGCCCAGTGAACCGGCGTCCGGCGTCGGTACGACCGATGGGGCCGATTTCTTGCTAGCAAAGCCTGCACTTTGTGCCGCCCCACAGTGGGTCTCTGCCAGGGGCACGGCCGTGGATGCTCTGTTTTCCCTTTTGCTTTTGAGAGCGTTTTACTTTTGTTCAAGTTGAAAAGGAGCCTTCTAGACCTGGCTATTTAATATTCTTTGCCTGTTCTTCATGTTTGACCCAATCTCGCTTCTAGTTTTCTCTTCCTGTGTGTGCTCCGGGAGGATCTGGGTAGGGGGAAGGAAGAGTGGAGAGAGGAGACTGGCCACCCAATGAACGGCCGAGGCCTCTGCGGCCACCTCCCTCTCTTCCTGGCCCTTTCTTTTATTCCCCACCCCCACTGCTCTTATTGTTGGTGGTCTAAAGAGCTTGTTTTCCTCTGAGTCCAGTTTAAACAGAAAGGGCCACGATTTGAGAGCTCGTCAGTGGGGTTTAAAAGGTGTGTTTTGTTGAAAAAAAAAAAAAAATCTTTTCCTGGGGCCTGTTTTCTTTAATATTTATTCCTTTCAGTACATTTTAATGAAAGCTTAACTCTCCTTCTCTTAATTAAGAAGGGATATTTTCTAGGGCAGGGGTAACTGGAAAAGGACTGTGGGTTTCTTTTCTTTACACAGAGGTGGACAGAGAAGGTCCGTATTTCCTGTGCGACTTCTGCTGACCCCCAGATCACGAGAATTCAGGCATGTCTGTTGTGTGCTGTTGGCCGTGGTAGGGCTGTGAGCCTCAGGGACAGGACGCTGCCATCCTTTTCTTGATCCTGGGTGCCCCGTTCAGTGTCGTATTTTGTTTTAGGTTGTAATGGGGGAATACTTTTTTTCTTTTAAGCTTTTTGCCTTAGGGAGTTGCTTGCCAGAGAAAGAGAGAGAGAGACAGAGAGAGGGAAAATGAGAAATCTCTCCAGGGGGGCTGGCCACACCACAATCCCTTCTTCTGCAAAATTGGGCACACACGCACGCACATGTGCCCAGAAGTTTGTGCCAATAGGAAAGATTTCCGGGACCAGCAGATGGCGTACTGGTTACGTTACAGGACTCCCACATTGCTGGACTCCCACGTAGTCGACCGCAGTTTGAGTCCCAGACCCAGCGGCTTAAAACTCACGCCGGGCACATGTGCATGTGTGTCCCAGATCCCTAGAGGAGAATGGAGGAGAAGGGATTGATTGCAGTGTGACCATCCCCCTTGGGGGGTGGTTTCTCACTTTCTGGCTCTCTGGCAAGCGCATGTGCTCTATAGCAAGAATCCTGCAATGGAAAAATAAAGAAAATATTCCCAAATGACGACGAATCCTCCGATCCCTTCTCTGGATGAGTGTCTGCGTGCTAGCCCTCCCATTGTGGTGTGGAGAAAGCTGTCCAGAGCTTCGGCATTCATTACGCCTTCCCTTTGCCAGTCACGGTCTAGGAACCAGAAACCGTATTGTCCTCAGACAACTTAGGGTCTAACTGGCAGGAAGGGGGACGGGAGGAGTAAAAGGGTTGTGAGTCAAGGAAACTGTTTGGAAGAGATGTTGGTAGAGCTGGGCCTTAGACGCCTAAATGCCTGTGGGACCAGCAGGTGGTGTAATGGCTGTCACTGGACTCACACGTAGTCCCGACCTGTCGAAGTGTCCGTTTCTCATGCCCGCCTGCTCTCACACACGTAGACACACATGCACGTGCCCTCACACACACCCTATCATGGATCATGAAAAGGGAATAAAATTGATAACTCTTTTTTTAACAAAACTGAGCAAGATTTTGAAAAGTGACACAAATGACTGAGGGCAGGAGTGCAGCAGGGGTTACTACAGCCACCAAAGGACAGCAGTCCTCGGCGCCACTTCACACTCATAAACTGCAGCCTAGGAGATGGGTCCCTTTCTGCAAACCATAGTTGCCAAAGCTCACCTAAGATCAAACAGGTACGGGATGACCCCTGAGAAATCGAGTTCGTAGTTACAAAGCTGAAAAAGAAACACACAGCCTGATGGTTTCAGTGGAGCTGACCCTGTATCTGCTGGTATTGAGCACCAGTGCCACACCCTCCCTTCCAGGAAACAGGCACGAATTGCTTCAGAAGTCATTTGATGAGGCTTGTCCAGAGCCAATGACAGTACTGAAAAAAAAGGCATAAGAAGATTTCAGACTGACGTCACTCATGAACCGAGAGGCACAAATCCCTTGCAAACCTCACCAAACCAAACCCAGCGATCTGTGAAAAGGGTCATACCCAATTACCTACCAAGTGGGTTTATTCCAGATGTGCAAGGTTTGTTTGATCAAAATAATGAATATGAGCCATAATATAATCCAGTCATCAAGTTTAAGAAGAATTAGAAACACACGAAAACCCAGCATTCAATAAAGTCTAATACCCGTTCACGATAAAACTCCTCACACTAGGAGAGGGCCAGGAACTCACTCCGCCTGGTGGGCATCAGGGAAGACCCACCGCTAACCGTCTGGAGTAGAGAGTGCGTGAATGCACTTCCCCGAGCCTGGGAGTAGGGCACGGACGCCCGCTCTCACTGCCCTCGGAACACAGAGCTGAAGTTACCACCGGCATGGGGTGTGGGGACAGGGCCGTAGTGGGTTGAGTGGAAAGGGAAAGGGTGTGGCTGTGAAGGGTGACGCGAGGGAGTGCTGTGCTGTGCTGACTGGGTGGAGTGTGAAGCTACACGTGTGCGCGTGGGACGGGAGACCTGGTCAGCGGGATCGTACTGCCGGGCTCCTGGTTCCAACAGCATGCAGTAGGCGTGCAGGACAGCAGCATGGGTGCAGCCTGCGCAGGGTACGAGGGACCTCCCTATATGTTTCTTTGCAGCTAGTTGTGAATCTGCAATTATTTCTCAAATTTCTGAACTCCAGGACCAGCAGTTGGCGTAATGGCTATGTCGCTGAACTCCCATGTAGTTGACCGTGGTTAGAGTCCTGGACCCCGTGGCTTAAACTCACTCTGGGCACATGTGCATGCGTGCCCAAGATCCCGAGAGGAGAATGGAGGAGAAGGGATTGCGGTATGGCCATCTCCCCTGGGGGGTGATTTCTCACTCTCTATCTCTCTGTCTCTCTCTGTCTTTCTGGCGAGCGCACACGCCCTATAGCAAAATCCTCTCCAAAAATCTGAACTTCCTAACACCCTCGCTTGTATCCCAATTCTTTCTCCTCATAATAGCAAAGGTTATCATTGTCTCCCGATCCTTCCTGAGATCCCGCATTTGCAACAGCGTACTCTCCATCGCCCTCGCCTGGCGAGTGGTTTCGCGGTACACGGGTGCCAGCCTTGCTGTCCTCTCTTAATGGAGATCATCCCGTACCAGCTTAAAGGACTGTCTTCAGGCTGCATTCTGTTGGTTCAGGTTCCGAGATGACATTACTTCCACCCCAAAACTGTACCCGGGTGGCTGCGTTGCTCCAGGGCTTTGCTTTTAAAAACCACTGTGCGGGCGAGTAGGCCTCTGAGGTGAGTTTCTAGGAGCTGGTTCTGGGTTTTGGGGCAGAGCTTACCTGCACTCGCAGTTGCAGAGGCCCCTGCAGGCCTCCCAGTTCTCACTCCCTGCCTTCAGATGTCCGTGCCCGTGCCCACACGGAGGCTAAAGATGGCCTATCAGGTGGTTTCAGATTTCCAAGTACATCTGTCTCGTTTCCTGTCAGCTGCATGTGTGATTTTGGTGGGTTGTCTTCTAGCAGCTCCTGGTTTGTAGGAGTCATTTGTGCAACAGGCCCTTTGTTCTCTACGTGGTTAGGGTACCTCTTTTTTTCTTTGTCGTTTATTAACCTCTTTTTTTCTTTGTCGTTTACCTTTTGACTGACTGTAGGTTTGTTTTAGTTCAGTTTTTGCATGCTGAGGGTTTTTGTTTTTCTTTCGTTGAGCTAATCTTTTGTGGCTTCTGGACTTGGTGCTGGTCATAATGGCCTTCCCCACACCAAGGTGTGAGGTGCGGCATTTTAGCTCTCAGGCGTGGGCCCTGCAGCCCCAGGGTGACCTCTGCACAGACAGACTCTGCTGCCCCAGGCCATCCATCTCCCCAGCTGGGAATCTGGGTCACTGCTAGAACTAGATCAAGTTCTCCTCCGTACAGTGGTTCTTTACAGGGAAAGGAAGTAGGGGAGGACCCTGGATGAGCTTGGCTTGTGCCCCATCTCCCAGCAGCCTTTATGCCGATAGGTAGGCCGAGTTAGAAGAGGGTTTGTCTCCTGTGCTCTGGGATCTGGGATCTCGCGGATGGGTGACACAAGCCCTCGGCTGGTCTCCAAGGAAGGGAAGTGAAACGTTCAAGGCCATTTCCTCCCACCGGTCCTTTGTACAGATTCCATCGGATTGCTCCTCCACGGGGACAGGCTCCCAGAGTCTCTGGGCTCTAGCCCGTGTCCGGCACAGTGCGAGCTCGGGAGTCCTGTCTAGTCTCGGCAAGACGGTCCAGTGCATTCTGGTTGGAGCGAAGTGCTGGATAGCAGTTTGTCTTTGCTCAGCCTTGGCATTTTCAACATGGGTGTGAAAAATACTTGCTTAGCATAACCCCTTCCCCCTTAGGGATAAGCAGACCCGAAGAAGGACTGTCTGCTGTGAGTGCCACCGGAAATGACATCACTGCCCCGCCTGGCAAGGAGCTCCCACCAAGCCCGGAGAAGAAAGCCAAGGTAAGGGCCAGAGTGGCCGCTGTCTCCATTGCTCTGTGCGTAAAGACAGATTTCTACTGCTGCTTGAATTATGAGCGAGATTTCTTTTTTCTGAGCTGTTCGGCATGCTTCAACTTTGTACATGCTTAGACCTTAAACTGAATTTTTACAGTCGTGACCTAACCCAAACCTCAAAATCTCTGCCTTTGCCCCCAGTGTCTTACACATCCCTAAACTGGTCTATAGATGTTGTTTCTGCTTCCCCTACCAACAACAGATAGGACGATTGTGGGGATTCTTAAATTGACTCTGAGAAGGGAATGGATTGATGAGCTGGATCCTAGCCTTAGGCACCGATGGGGACTTGGCGCAGTGTTCAGGTGGCACACTTCAGGGGCTGATGGGGACTTAGCGCAGTGTTCAGGTGGCACACTCGGGCTGATGGGGACTTAGCACAGTGTTCAGGTGGCACACTCAGGCTGATGGGGACTTAGCGCAGCGTTCAGGTGGCACACTCAGGGGCTGATGGGGACTTAGCACAGTGTTCAGATGGCACACTCGGGCTGATGGGGACTTAGCGCAGCGTTCAGGTGGCACACTCAGGGGCTGATGGGGACTTAGCACAGTGTTCAGGTGGCACACTCAGGGGCTTGTGCTGCCTGTCGAGGTACAGGTGATAACGGGTTCATACCTGCTGGAGTCTTTCTTTATGGAATTATGACAGCCACAGAAATGATTAATTGTCTAAAGCTGTTACTAAATTAAAATCTTCAGGTGCCACCCTCCTGGAATCTGTGGCACTGTCATGAAGAAACTAGCCCCAATTTTCTTTCTCTGTCCTGGTATTCCACTCTTTACTAAGCTCAGAAGAAAGGAATGCTAATTTTCAGTTGCATCTATCCTCATTGCTTATAATTTTACTTTGAATTGTGCAATTTATACTTTTTTTTTATTTGTTTTTATTCTTGTCTGTGTGTTTGATGTTGGCCTTTAAAAAATAAAAATTAAAAAACAAAAAACAAAACAACAATCAACCTAAAGCCTTTGGCCACCACTCAGCCTGCAAAGACTTCAGCGTCGAAAGCCAAAACACAGCCCACCTCTCTCCCTAAGCAGCCAGCTCCCACCACCCTTGGTGGGTCGAATAAAAAACCCATGAGTCTTGCTTCAGGCTTAGTACCAGCTGCCCCACCCAAACGCCCTGCCGCCACCACTGCCCGGCCTTCCACCCTACCTGCAAGAGACGGGAAGCCAAAGGTAAGTGCTCACCTAAGCGCTGGGCCAGGGAGTCTTCCCCTCTGAGTGTCAGAGCAGGCTCTTACTCTGCCAGACAATCGAATCCGGCTGGTGGGCCTGGGGAAATGCCAAGGAAGGGCGGGTCTCAATATCCACTGGGGCCCAATGGACGCAGCCACTTTGAAGCCCTTTTAGACCTGTGACTGTGGGTGGTCACTGTCCATCTCCTGTGGTTCCTCTCCCTTTCTCTCAGCTGCTCCTCACTGCCCATTGAAGCCCTTGTTGACCAACCTCCCCCACGCCATATCCTCGTCAGATACCCCCTTTATTCTGTCTTCTTTGGTAATGATCCTGCAAAAATGAGGTTTACTGAATTTCCTTAGCAATGTGACTACTTCTCCCGGCCCATCTCAGCATCTCCCAGCACCACGTGCTAACTCTGTGCTTCGGGCATTCAGCCACCTCTGTCCCAGCTTCTGCTCTAGTTTCCAGGCTCCCCACTCCCTCTTTGCTCAGCAGCCTTGGCTTTCCAGACTCATCGCAGGGGAGGGTTGGTAGAGGCTGTGGCTGCCTTCTGGACCATTCTGCTCGATTTGAGAAGGACCTTTAGGTCAGCCTGATGGTACTCTTTAAGTTCATGGTGGTTTCCTGAGTTAAAATGTCAGCATTTAACATAATTCAGTAGATTGGTGACACCTAGGAATTGTAGTCTGGTGTAAAACCCTGGCTGAGAGACGGGGACACCCTGTCATAGACTAGGAAGATAACATCCCGTCCAGCTTTCAGCCCAGCCTAGCTGGCCGTCAGTAACATACATGAGCCCACGGGCCGACCGCCAGTTCAGATCCCAGGCGTGTGTGCAGGTACCCAGCACCCTGAAAGCTGGAAGTTCGGGACGGGAGCCCGTGGTCTGACGAGACCCTGCTGAAGTGCTTTCTCTTCCCGACAGGCGCACACGCGTGTCAGCTGATGGAAGATCAGCAAGGACACCATACAGCCTTCCTCCCCGGCCCTCTGTACCCAGTTGGCACTTTTTGTCTTTTATGTCTGTTATCCCTTCTCCTCCCTCCCATGAAAGGGACAGAGTGGGACACTGGCACCCCCAGCACGGTCCCCACATGGAGATCCCGCCCAGCTTCAGCTGCCCAGGTCACAGACACACACGGGTGGCATGTAAAGGGAGCCCAAGTGCAAACAGGCACCTTTCTTTCTTCTTTGTTTTTGGTTAAGGGCTGCACACGCCCACCAGAGGCCCAGCCCTCCATGGTCACAGCGATCTGTCTCTTCCCTCCTGTCGGGGTTTGGGGCGTGCACATACACGCAGCACCGTCGGCTGTGGGAGCCAGCCTCTCACCGTCAGGCGGCAGAGACGGGCACAGCCAGGCTCCTTTGCTTCCTTCCTTCATTTAACACGTTGCCAGAGGGCGTGTGTGCTTAGAGAGACATCATGGTCACACCACGTGCACCCAGAGGCACAGCTGCTCCTTCTCCGTTGTGCCCACGTACACATCCTGGCATGGTTTTCAAGCTGTTAGGTCTGGGCTCAGCTTCACAGTCGGATCCATTCACCTTAACCATCATGCCACAGGCTGGCTCCAGGCACTTTTTTTCTTTTTAATTTGTTCTAGGGTTGGGGCCGGCAGGTGGCGTGGTGGTTGAGGGTGCTGGACTCCCACAGGGCCGACCACAGTTCAAGTACTGGACCTGACAGCTTGCTTTCTCACTTCCTCTCTCTCTCTTCTCTCTCTGGTCAAATTTAAATAGATAAATAGAATGATCGATACTCTCTCTCTCTTCTCTATAGATAGATAGATGGATAAATAGATAGATAGATAAAATCAAATATAAGAGTTCTTTAAAAAAAGAATTTAGGGACCAGCAGTTGGTGTAACGGCTATGTCACTGGACTCCCATATAGTCGACCGCAGTTCAAGTCCCAGACCCAGTGGCTTAAAACTCACACTGGGCGTGTGTGCGTGCGTGCCCAAGATCCCGAGAGGAGAATGGAGGAGAAGGGATTACAGCGTGGCCATCCCCCCTGGGGGGTGATTTCTCGCTTCCTGTCTCTCTGTCTCTCTCTCTCTCTCTGTCTGGCGAGTGCATGCACCCTATAGCAAAAACCTCGAAAAATGATTTTTAAAAATTTGCTATAGGGTATGTGCACTTGACAAAGAACTAGTGAAAGGGAATGTCCACACTGCAGTCCCTCTCAATCCTTTTTATTATTTAGTATTATTATGTTTTCTTACTTAGACCATAGACAGAGAGGGAAAGTGAGAGAGCAAGCCACGAGGTCTGGGACTCACACTGTAGTCAGCCATGTGGGAGTCTAACGCCTTACCATCACACTATCTGCCAGTCCAGCTTGGCATGTTTTTAAGCCACCGGGTCTGGGACTCAAAGTACACTTTCAGCCATGTGGGGTCCAGCTGCCTTAGGCAGCAGCGGTTGACTAGCCCAGCCCCCTTTTCATGTGGATCCCGCTGTGCCACCATCTGGCTCTGCTTCAGCTGACCTTTAGAAAGGGGCCAGCAGGTGGCGTGGTGGTTAAGGGCGCTGGATTCCCACATAGCCAACAGTGGTCTGAGTTCTGGGCCTGGGGGCTTGCTTTTGCTCTCTCTCACTCTCTCTCTCGCTCTCTCTCTGTCCCTTTCTGGTCAAGTTAAAAATAAATGAATAAAGATAAATAAAATAATTCTTTATTAAAAAAAAAAAAGGAAATAAAACAGTTCATTAGAACAGGGCAGAGCAAAGGTGACAGGCGCCTTGAGGACAGTTCCTCCATGAGGCTTCCCCAGCAGTGGCTCCTGCAGAGACGGGGGCCCAGGAGGAGAGAGGGGAAGGTCTAGTGGTGGGACGGGTGGCAGTGACAGTGCAAGTGGAGTGTGCTGGTTGGCCGTACCCATGAACTCCTTGAATTCCGTCTCGGGCACTGTGATGCAGGTGTTGGGTGAGGGCCCTCAGTCTCAGTTAAGTCCCCTTCCGAAGGTCCACTGGGCCTGGCAGAGCAGGGCCTGGGCCTGGCAGCACTGGTTTTGGATGGCTTTTTGCCAGGCAGCTTTTCGACAGCATTCAGGGTGCGGCGACCTGCAGAGGAGGTCTGCCTGAGGGTCGTTGCTGCTGTTTTTCTTTCAGATAGGAAATAGACACATTTCTAGAGATTGAGAAAAGACTGAAGTCTGATTAAATTATTTTTAGAGAATTATTTAACTGTATTTACTTTTATTTTAATTTGACCAGAGAGGGACAGAGTATGTGTGTGTGTGAGAGAGAAAGAGAGAAAGAAAGAGAAAGAGAGAGAACCACCAGGTTAGGGACTTGAAACACAGTCAGCCGTGTGAGAGTCCAGTGCCCTTAACCACCACGCCACCTGCCGGCCCTCTGATGAAAGTATTTTTACCCTTGTTTTGCTAGAAAGGTTTATAGAAGCAAAGAAACAGGAAGAAAACTTTCTGTGAGCGAAACAAGTAGGCGTGCGACCCTGGCAGAGGGGAGGGGAGCCGACAGACAGCAGGGTACTGCGGTCCAGAGGGCAGACCGCACTGCTGCGGCGAGGCCAGGAGCCTGGCATTTAAGGATGTCACGGCCTTTAGCCATCTCTGTCCCAGTGACTGCTCTGACTCGTGTACGTCACTCTTCCTAGCCGCATAGTAAGGCTGCCTCGGCGATTCCAAATCGTCCTAGTATTGAAACTCGGAAGGCAACTCGGAGAACATCCGGTTAGTCCTACAACTTCAGAGCAGTCAGGGCGGGGACTCCGCCAGAGCATGTCCCCAGCACCGCGGGTGGTAGGATCAGCTCCCCAGTCCCAGCCTCTGCAGAGTTAAGCCGCATTCCTCTTGGTGCCACCCGTCACTTCTAAGCACCTCCTGAGCCCATTCTGCACTTACACAATATCCTGCCTCTCCCCACCAACCTGCTACCCCTCTACGGCCACCTCTGCTGGACCGAAAGTCCCGGGGCCACTCGCTGCGTCAGGGCTCGCCTTAATCTGGGGACTCTCGAGGCTTCTTTACCAGAATGGCATCTGCACGCCCGCTCCTGTAGAAGCCCGTCCTCATCCTCTTCAGGGTGCTGTTCCCAGCCCCCGCTAAGGGGGCCGCAGGGACCCAGACATTGGGCATCCACCCCTGATTTGTCTACTCTTTGCTTTCTGTCCCTCGCTGTGATCGCAGCATTCTTCATTCCTACTGTGGGTCCCTTCTCATCATCTCTGTTACCAGAGACTTCTCGTCCACGCTCTCCCAGCATCAGGGACGCAGTGATGTGCCCAGGAGCACATTGTGAGCTGGAGGCGGCCAGGGGTGGCGCTCGGGCCTCTGGCTGGCTTTTGTCCAGTGGCCTCTCCAGCTGCAGCCCTGCCCTGGTCAGCTCTCTGGGTGCATGTTGGCCACCACACGGCTGGACATGAGGCACGTGCTTATCTGTGCATGTTTGCTGATGTGTTGGTTTACTGTTGGGCCGGGAGGCTGTCCCATACATCCGCTCTCCTGGTGCCGGCCGTGTTGGTTCTTAGTGCAGTGGGCAGGGGGCTCCCATGGGGTGCGAGGTAGGGGTGGGGCTGTGCGGCCCATGGGCTTCAGGTAGACGGGGCTTAACTATGTCCATTTCCAGCCTGTCAGCAGTGCCCAGCGTAGCCTGGCTCTCGCTTTGTCCGAAGCCTTGACCTCAGAGCCACACATACTTGCCCGTTGGTGGCTGCAGAGCCTACAGGCCCCGTTCTTTGGCACATGTCCACATAGAGCCGTCCTGTGGCCTGACGCCTCTGCTTTTCCGCCTGCCTTGCTATTCCTAGGCTGCAGCAGAGGCAAAGGTTCCTGAGAAGCGGGCCTCTTCATCCAAGCCGGCCTCCACCTCAGCCTCCAGAGTTGGACCCAAGGGCTCCCCAACTGTCCCCAAAGCCACCACAGCTACCACTCTTGCCACATCTGGCCCAACAAGCAGGAGCCCCCCGACAGCCCTGGCCAAGAGGCCCACCCGTGAGTATCACCTCACCCCCGCCCCCGGGAACTGCGAGAAAGAGCACACAGTCCCAGGCGTGGCCCCAGCTGCAGTCTAGGCAGCTGTGTGAGCCTGGCAGGCCGGGGCTTGGCGGCAGCCTGCTTAACCAGGACCAGGCTGGCCTTGGCCTCTTGCGGGCTCAGTGGCTGCGCATTGACGAGGCTCTAGTGAGGGAGCTCTCAGGCACTCCTGGGCCCATCTGCTGTCCCTGTGCCCCCAGCACACCAAGGCCACATGGGAGGCACCAGCAGGCCTGCAGACGAGGGCACCTCTGTCGTGGCGGCCTCGTGTCCAGCTCCGTCCCTACAGCGTGGCACAGTCCGGGGATGGCTAACTGCGCCAAGCCTCGGTCTCAGCAGCCAGTGTGCACACATTATCTTAACGAGAGTGTGTCTGTGCAGCCACCAAGCCCGAGGGAAAGTCTGCGGACGTCAAGAAGATGAGCACCAAGTCTGCACCAGGTAGTCACCGTCCACTCCGGGGAGCCCCCGCCCAACCCCTGCGCTGCCGGTGCTTTGAGGCTCCCTTTTCCTGCCCCCGACCCTCCTCTCCCACTGCCATCTCTGCAGCTGATGCCAGTCGCTCCAAGAGCACCTCCACTGGCTCCAGCTCCGTGAAGAAGAGCACCAGTCTCCCTTCGGCGGCCTCCCCAGCAGGCGTGGCTCCCACCCGGGTCAAGGCCACGCCCGTGCCTCCCCGGCCCTCCACGGCCTCTGCTGTGGACAAGAAGCCCAGCTCCTCTGCCCCAAGGCTGAGTCGCCTGGCCACCAACACCTCTGCCCCGGATCTGAAGAATGTCCGCTCCAAGGTTGGGTCCACGGAGAACATCAAGCATCAGCCTGGAGGAGGCCGGGTGGGTGACGGAGCTCAGGTCCATGGCATGCTACTCTGCCCCGCTCCCCTGCTTCCTCCCTGCCACGTCCTGCCGCATTCCCCAGCTCTGCCGGACAGGGGCTGGAGGACATCAGTTATCGGGGCCTTGCCCGGGCTAGCCCAGCAGCAGGGCAGCAGGGGTGGGCCGATGGGCTCTCTCCTCGCGTCCCAGTCAGGGTCTCCTGTCCTGGTGTTCAGCTTTGGGCTTAGATCTCTGTTTGAAGGCCGGACCTCCCTTGCACTTTACAGGAGAAGCGTAGGCCCCTCGGGGCCTCCAAATCCTGAGAGACGCTGGCCGTGAGCGCCGTTCCCCTGTCTCTCCCGTGCACAGTGAATGGCGGGCTAGGCAGAGGGCGGGTACCGCTCAGGGCCTCGGGACAGCCTGAGGTGGGTGGCGGTCTGGAAGGGACACAGGTGCCCTCTTGTGGCTTTCTGTGCTGTAGTATGGTAAGCGAGGGAGGCGTGGCAGGCTGTCCGTTCCTGGTTGCATCGTTCCCAGGATGGCTTGTTAACCGTTAGCAACCCCAGGGCCTCTGTGTATGAAGAAGACGGTGGTGTAAGTCCCCCTAGAAATGGAGGAGTCCCTGGAGAAGCAGCCATCTTGTCTTCGTCACTTGCTAGCACTTCCACCACCCCATTTGGGGCAAGATACGTAAATAGCTTCAGTCTAGAGTGTTTCAAAAATCGAGGGAGGGAAAAAGTGAGGTAGAGCCCTCATACAGTCGGAGGGCGCTGATGGCAGACGGGTCTGTCCGGGGTCAGGGCCGCAGCCTGACCTGGTACGCGCCACAGGCCATGGGGCCCCCAGCGTGGCCTCTGGGCTGGGCTGCCGGTGGCCCGTGGCCCTCTGCTCCTCTGCTGCTGCCCTGGTGCAGAAGTCAGGAGGTCGTGGTGGGAGCCGAGTGGCCGTATAACGTCGCATTATCCTGTTCCCACGTGCCCGGAGAGTGACATTCCCCACCAGCTGGCTGCCTGTGACCGCAGTGCTTGTCCGGGGCATGTCAGGACCTTTGAGTAGGAGGGTGGTAATGACTGTGAAGTAGTAACCCCAACTCACACCAAGAGCACCCCGGGATGGCCTTCTGCCTCCTTCACCTTCTCTCCATAAGTCGTGCTTGGACTTCCTCTCGTGGCTCTGTCCCTGTGGCTCACTACTCAGGGAACTCTGGAGTGACCTGCCCTGGGACATATATGCTTCTTCCTAGGAGCAGGGTGACCTGCCCTTCCCGATGGCCTGGCCTGGATCCGAGTCCCCTGCAGCCCCATCCTCCTTGGCATTTGGGCTCTTGTCCTCTTGGTTTGAAATGTGCCCTCCCTTTATCTCTATCCAGGCCAAAGTAGAGAAAAAAACAGAGGCGGGGGGCACCACCTGCAAAGTTTTTTTTGGCCAACACCCCTCCCCGAACCCCGCCCGCAAGAAGAGCCAGCCCCGCGGCCAGTGCGCAGAAGCCGCCTGCCGGGAAAGTGAGTGCGGGCGGACCCGTGTCCGGAAGGTGGACCTCTCGGTGGTTCTCCCAGAGCCTTTCCATCTTTTGCCCTTCTTCCTGTCCGTGGCTGGTTCTGTCCGCTCCCCACGTCCCTCTGATGACTTGGCCATCAGAGGGTTTTATTTTGCGTGTGAACCTGGAGAGTTATGGACGTCTTGAGAATGTAGGCTTGTTCGCTGGGCCCCGTGGCGACTCGGCTCTTCCTCGGCAGGAGTGGCAGTGTTGGGGCCTGGAGCTTCGTGCTCGAGCGTCACCCAGCAGGCCCTGTCACCACACCGCCATTGTCTGCTTCCCCAGATCCCCTCCTAACTGAAACTTGGGGTGCTCGATCCACTTAGCACAGGGAGCGCAGTGGGTGGGCAGAGGTGAGCTGTGGCCGCTGTGCCCTGTCTGCACACCCCCGACCTACTGCCTGCCTGAGCAGTGCAGGGGCTGGGCCTCCTCGGCCTCGGGCCACTGGAGAGGCCTCCAGTCTAGGAACCAGGACGTCATTGTAGGCAGCCCACAGGGTCCTCGGGTCTCTGGTCAGACCAGGCTCATTAGCAGTGGTTTGCTGGCAGGGCTGGAGTGGCCAGTTTGGAGCGCTGCATTTCCGGGTGAACTCTGCGCTGTGGAGAGCCCTCAGTCTGGCAGCTGCAGCATTTGCACGTGGCAGCTGCTCTGAAGCCGAGAACGGACGAGCGGGCAGCTGTTGGCACTCGAGGGCCAAGCACAGTTCTGGGCCCCGGAACCCTAGAGCGAGGGCCTTCCGAAGCTCCAGGAGGGGCCATTTCTATACGAGGGTGTGATCACTCCTGGGGGGCCCCCCCCCGCCCCCCTGCCGAGAGCCTGTTCTCTGCACACAGAACTCGTGGGCCATGGCATTGGGCATCGGGAGGGTTCCAGAAGGCGTTTTGGCCTGGACCTCTGTTACTCTGTGCTTTCTGGAACCTGAGACAAGTGCAGAAGCGGAAGCTGTGGCCTCGCTCCTGGTGTCCCAGATCTTGTGTCCCTTTGCGTTCGTACGGAGCAGCAATCCTGTCCTTCCTGCCGGGGCACATCTGGGTCCAGTCAGCCAGCTGCCCAGTGCCTTTCAGAGAGCAACCTTCACTGCCCGCTGTTGATCGGGGTGGCTGTGGGGGTTCCACCTGGGCCTGTTGGACATGCTCAGCTCCTGCAGGAGGAGCAGGGGCAGGAGGGGAGACCAGGCCTGCGTGTGCATCGGGCTGCTGCTCTCCGGGCCACGGGAACCACAGCCAAGCCACCAAGGAGCAGCCATGACTACCATGTGGCACCTGTGTCACACCTGCTCTGTCACTGTCGTTCCTCCACCTTCCCACTCCCTGTGCACTCTCTCTCAGCTCCTTCTCCTGTGCTTTTCCACACCTTTTCTGCCGCAGGCGGGAGGAGGTGCGGCCACACTGGGGCAGCGTGATCACCCGTTCACCCCCTCCCCCGCCCACCTTCTAACCAGCCCTCTCCCTTTGTGTCGTTTTCTGTTCTCTAACACTCCAGGTCCAGATAGTCTCCAAAAAAGTGAGCTACAGCCATATTCAGTCCAAGTGTGGTTCCAAGGACAATATTAAGCATGTCCCTGGAGGTGGTAATGTAAGTATGAGTTCTGGCCAGTGGGTGTCTGAGCCCTGCCCTGGGGTGCCGTGGCAGGACCATGTGGCCGGGCCGGGCTTCCTCGGGGCAGTCTCGTGATGTGAGGGGCTGTGGTGACCTCCACACCGGGACCCAGTGACACCACCCGGGCGGGAGGCTCTGGGTTTCCTCCAGTCGAGGTGGCGGTCAGCCACAGGCCGAGGGCTGGTCTCAGGCACATCCTGGGACAGATGCTGCCTGCCTGGTGCCATGTCACCCCCATAGGGGATCTGACTGAGACAGGTGTTAGAATCTTCTAGATCCCTCCTGGACCCTTCCCCGAGAGTCAGGGCTAGTCAGTGTTCTCTGTGTTCCCTGCAGCCGTTTCCCCGTCCCCTCCCTTCTCCCTCCTCCTCTGCTCCAGTCCCTCCTACTCTACTCCCCATTGTTTCCTTTTCTGCGCCGTCCCTGCCCTGCATGGCCCTGTCCCTCTTCCATCCAGACATCTCCCTTCCATCTCGCTGCTGGACTGTGATGGGGACAAGGGGACCCCGCTCCTGGGGCTGGCCTGGGGTGGTGGAGCACAGTGCTGTGGTGTCCAGTGAGCGAGGACACCCTGCGTGTTTGCACGTCCCTGTGGCGGCCGGGGCAGCAGGGCCCCGCGGAGAGCGCCCATCATGCGGGAGCTGCCCGCTTGCTTCCCCAGCGAGGGAGCCACCATCCGTCTCCCTTGGGCTCCTCCTCCTGGGTGTCCCAAACTGGACCCCCTGCTGCGTGTACCCTGCTCCCTCCTTGGTCGTGTGTCCTCCCAGGACCCACACCCCCTCCCATGGTTTTCATGGGACACAATTTATTCTTACCCCACCTGGCCCCCCCCTCGCTGCACCCCCATCCTGGCACTTTCCTGACCTGGGGCTGGCTGGGGGCGGAGCCTTGGAAGGCCTCTCGGTCCAGGTGAGGTTACAGGTGGACAGGGTGCTGGGGAGTCGGGTCATGGTGTGCCTGTGCGTGCACGTGTTGCATCGTGGGAATCCAGGTGTGTCTGCTGGGCAGAGAGGGAAGAGCCCTGCAGTCACCGTCTGTCCGCCCACTGCTGTGGCCCTCCCGCATGGTCATGGCTGAGGATGGGCACTTGTGGTTGCAGATCCCCGCAGGGAGGCGTCCTTAGCCAGGCCGCACAGGCAGACCAGCGCGGTTCCAGTGGGAGGTCGGGGAGGCCGCGGCCGGCAGCCTGGACTTGGTGCTCAGCTCCTTCCATGCAGCCACCGCAGGTAGCTCACCTCCACGCACACAGGATGGCTCATACGTCCATCCCACCTCACAGGGTCCCAGCCTGCGCTCGGCATGCTCCTGCCAGGGAGTGAGGGCACGCTGTGCCACCTGCCCGGCAGCAGCTGTCCTTGAAGGCCTTGTGGCAATTCGGGTTCTGTTTCACCCCTGTGAGGGGGACATGCGTGGCGGGCTCCACGACTTGTTGACAGCTGTGTTGGCAGTGTCCCTGGGCTCCACACTTGGCCTGCATGCCCTCCTAGCCCTGGGGGCAGACCATGTCCCCACACAGGTCGATCAGAGCTGGGAACGTTGGGTCCAGACCACGAGAGTCCATGTAGCAGCCTAAGCGGGGGAGGTCACGTTACGGAGGCAGCGAGTCTCAGGGACATTTTTAAAGCTCCTTATTGATGCTTTCAAACATCCACAGTAGGGCCAGCTCTGTGTCCTCATGGTTAGGGGAACTGGGTTTCATGCGGCTACCCCACAGGTCAAGTCTTGGTCCTAGTGACTTGAAAAATACCAGGTCTCCATGCATGCCCCCAGTCCTGGCGGGGTGCAGGGACGGAGAAGAGGTGGGTGCACCGTGACCACCCGTCGGAGGTGCTCTCTTCCCGGCCCACTCACCCCCAGAGTGCACACGCCCTCTAGCCACTAAATCAAAACTCACGTGCAGGTAGACAGCGTGGAACATGGCCTCGCTGTGCTTCTCAGCGGGCTCGCTTCCCATCACACGCCAAGCTGTGTGCTCACGTGTGAAGCCGGTTTAGATGTACCGGTACGTTCCTCTGAGAATACTGTGTATCCGTTTAAAAGGGAAGCGCTCTTTAGAGCGTATAGAGGCATAGATGCTAGGCCATGTTACACGCCAGCAATTCAGAATACGAGGCATCTTCACAGTGTGGTGGGAAACGGCTATTATGAAAAAACTGCAAGGATTTCTCATTTTTTGTACCAAAATTAATTCATAATTTAATTGCATATTTTCCCACAAACTCTTATTTAAAAGTCCCATCGCGTATACTCTCTCTTCCTCCTTCCCCACCTTTGACCAGGGTCTCACTTTTTGCCCCGCCCAGCCTTGCACTCACAAGGATCTGTCTCTTTTCCTCTGCAAGTCTCCTCTTTATCTTGTTTTGGGGTGTTTTTGTCTTTTAATTTTGCTATAGGTCCCATGTACTTGTAGGAGAGAGATGGAGAGAGGGAAAGTGAGAGCTCAGCCCCCCGGGGGAGTGGCCATGCCACAGTCCCTTCTGCTCCATTCTCCTCTCGGGATTTGGGGCACATGTGTACATGTGCCCAGCAGGCTTTTCAAGGTGCCAGGTCCAGGACTTGAACTACACAGTGGGCTCTGTGGGACCCAGCACCTTAACCCCCACACCACCAGCTGGCCCATCTGGGTTACTTTGATGATTAACCTGAATGGTCTGTCCTAGAAGCCGGACTCTGTCTCCATTTCCTAGTGGTCATGTAACACATCCCTTTGTTCTTAGTCCTTTTAGTAATGCTTTTTTTCTCGTAGTTTTTCGAACTTCATGCCGGCACATGAGAGAGCGGGGTGCCCTTGGTAGGTCCTGTCAGGCTTGCACGCCTCTCCTGCCCTCTAGCCCCTTAGGGTCTGGGGCCGACATGCACTTGGTTATCCCAGATGGCCTTGGCCACCCCGTGCTTCCAGCACTGCAGTTCACTCTGCTACCGGCTGCGCCTCAAAGCCTGGGCCTTCATTCTCTTTAAATCAGTTCAGGCTTTGTTTTCGGATCTTGCCATAGGGCATGTACACACTAAAGAGAGACAGTGAGAGGGAATGCGAGACCCCCCACCCCCCGATGGGGGACGGCCACACTGCAATCCCTTCTTCATTCTCCTCTCAGGATTTGGCCATGTGGGGAGTTCGGCACAGCTCTCACAGGTAGAGGGTCTCCTGCCAGGATGCTCGCGGTGATGGCGGCTGTGCCCTGAGCAGTGGCTAGCTCCGCAGGCCAGCACGGTGCTACTGCGACGCCGGCTCCTCCACTTGGCAGCTCGCACGCACCTGCAAGGCACTCTTCCCTCCTCGACTCCTTACCGAGGGCGAGGCAGAGGTAAAGAGAACGCTTCCAGGGGGCACTCCACCAAGAAGTGCATGGTACCCCATCTGGGCGGGGACCCCAGCCTTGCAGAGCCAGCCTCGCTGACCCGCTCGCAGGTGGACTCGAGGCAGGGGCAGGACAGCCTTCAGGATGTGGGACCACCTGTGCCACTCTGTGAGGAGCAGGGCCGGGGTGGCCTTTGTGGATGAGGCCCTCACGGCCCACTCTCTTGAACTGGCATTTTCATCCCCTGACAAGTAAGAACGAGCTACCTCGGTTGGGTCCCAGAGAAGCATTTGCCGCAGTTTGGGGGTATATGCGAGCCAGGTACACCTCCCATCAGTACACGCATGGGAGGGGCCGGGGACATGTGACCAGGCCTCCCGTGCTAGAGATACCTGCCGCGTCTGGGATGGGCTGGAGAGCGAGGAGAGAGAAGACATGTCCTCGCAGGGAAGCTGCAGCCTTTCTGTGGAGACACAGCAGAGCAGGGGCTGTGTTCTCACGGTGACAGCATTACTGTGCAAGATGGCGTCCCTTCGGGGTCAGTGTGAGGAGGGACGCATTGATGCTAGAGCTGGGGAGACCGTCCAGAAGGCACCTCGAATCACAGGGGGCAGGTTGCAGGCTTGCATGAGCAGGGTGGGCCAGAATGGCTCCGGGGAGCTGACGGCTTCCCAGGCCCTGGGCTGTGGACAGATACACAAACGCCCGAACACCCTGTCCATCCTCTTGGAAGCTGTGGGGCGGCCATAATTGGGCTTGGCTGGAGGTGAGGGCGGAGGTGAAGAGGGCCAGAGCAGAGCAGGCTCTCCACAGAGAGAGGCGTCGTGCCCTTGACAAACACAGGCTGACGGAGACCCTGGAGGTGGCCAGAACCCCGAGTGATGGGGAGCCAGGCTCCTCTCAGTACCAGGAGCGGCAGCAAGTCAGGCACCCTGGGGTCCTGGAGTCCCCACCCGAGAGCCCAGAGGCCACTCCTGTCAGACCCTGTTTCCAGACCGGCCGAGGTGTTCCCAAGGCTCCTCAGGGCCGGCCCTAGTGGGGATTGCAGAGCCCAGGGACCACCGAGGCCAGCTCCCAGGCACGTCTGCACATGTCTGCTGTGGATGGGTGACTGGGGGGGCCAAAATGCCCTGGACAGTGGCAGAAATCCATCATGCCAAATGCTCAGCTAGGCGTGTGATTATGTAGGGAGCAGGCTACATCATTGCGTGGCCTTTGCCCTGTGTCTCATCTCGCGGGAAAGTGACCATAGCGGGACTGAGGAATGCAGGGTCACACGCAGGTGCAGGGCTGTGGCCACGGGTCACACGCAGGTGCAGGGTTGTGGCCATGGGTCACACGCAGGTGCAGGGCTGTGCTCAGCCACGGCGGGCAGGCATGGGGCATGGTGCAGGTTTCTTTGGGTGAGGAGGTGAGGGGAAGGTTTTGCATGGAGCCTCAGGCGTCTTGGGAGGGCTCACTGTGGGACCCCGTCACGGCCCGCCATGGAGGGGCACGTGTGGGCGCAGCAGAGGCTGTGGGAGCCTCACCAGGCTGGGCCACAGGCGGGGCGGGCCAGATGGGAGAGCCGACCTGGGCAGGCTGAGGCCGGGGTGCGGGGAGAGCCGTGGACATGGACTGGTGACAGGTATGGCGGGGCACTAACATCTCCCTCACCCTCAGGTTCAGATCCAGAGCAGGAAGGTGGACATCTCCAAAGTCTCCTCCAAGTGTGGGTCCAAGGCCAACATCAAGCACAAGCCCGGTGAGCACCCCGGCCGGCCCGGGCTGGGGAGGGTGGCCGAGCTGGCCAGTCCTGGCCCTGGCGGGGAGGATGTTGGCCATCGCTGCCGTGGTCACAGGCTCACTCTCTGCCGAGGGAGCCAGAGTGGGAGCTGTGCCGGGAGGGTGGCCCAGACCTGTCGTGCAGGACCACGCGGGCTCCAGGCCATGAAGCCCAGCTCCCCCCGAAGCAGCCATGAGGCGCGGGGTCCCTCCAGCACCTAGCTGGCCCAGTGCCCCCCACAGAGGCTGCGCAGAGTCCGGGCTCCTCCTCGGCTGTCACCCCCCCAGTCTCCTGTGTCCAGGCAACTGGGGCCACAGCAGATGTGGGGTCCCCGAAGGCAGCCTCCGTGGGCCAGTTCGAGTGAGGCCAGGCCGCCCTTCCCACTTGGCAGAGCCAAGGCCATTGGAGAGGGCCTTCTCCTAAGAACGGCGTCCTGGTGTGGCCCTTGACTCACCTCCGTCTCCTGCGTCTGGGCAGTCCCCTGCGGGAGATGCCTCTCTGCCAGTGACACCAAGGGGCTTGGGCTCCAGCCTAGAGAGCCCAGCAGGGCCTGGGAGCCGTGGGCCAGGCCCACAGCTGAGCAGGGGCCTCTGGCCGGCAGGAGGGCCAGGGGTCCCGTGGCCGCCCCGCCCCTCCCCTCCCCTAGGTCGTGCGGCCACCGCTGGCCAGTGGGCTCTGAACCTTGTCCTTGTGTACAGGTCACCTTGGCTCCCGCCCCAGCCCAAGGCCACGCTCCCCTCACTCACCCTTCACTGCCCCGCAGCGTGGCTCCGTTCAAGGGCTCAGGCAGGTTGTGTTCCCATCCTGGTCCTGTCGCTCGCAGGCTTAGTGACCTTGGGCAGGTCAGCTCTTCAGCATCAGTTTAGCAGCTGTGTCTCCAGCATGGGGACCCTGACAGACGGGCCTTCTGGACATTGGGTGAGGCTGTGCCCGAGAGCACTCAGGGCAGACTCCGGCAGCTGCTGCTCCTCCTTGAGGTTTCGCCAGGGCCACGCTCTGCGCCCGGCCTGCCCCGCAGCTGCCCAGAGCAGGCTGGGCTGGTGACCCCACGGCTTGCCCATGTCCCTGGCTACATGGAACCACAGAGCTCCGTGTTCTTGGGTACCGTCCCCTCTCCTGAGCTAGCCCGGAGTCTGGGCTGCCACTCGCCTCCTCGGCCTCTCCGCCTCTCCTGCAGGGCCATTTCTCTGCCACCCTTTGTGATCCCACCCTACTGGTTCCAGGTGGAGGAGATGTCAAGATTGAAAATCAGAAACTGAACTTCAAGGAGAAGGCCCAGGCGAAGGTGGGCTCCCTGGATAACGTAGGCCACCTGCCCGCGGGAGGTGCCGTGAAGGTGCGAGGGGTCCCGGACACATGGCTGGGGTGGGGTGGGGCTGCGAGCCTGGGTCAGGGCCGGCAGGGAGGTGCCCGGCGCCGCCCTCAGCGTCTCCAGGAGTCCGTCTTCACCACTCACTGTGCTCCATTGTCCGCCATCCTCCAGAGTGAGGAAGGGGAGGCCCCAGCCCGGCCGCAGGCCTGACTTTGGAGCCTGTGCTGCGTCCCCAAGGGCCCCGGTTGGGGCCGAGCGTGCCACAGCACGGGTTGGCTGTCCCTGCTGTCAGCAGAGCAGAGCGTGGGCCCTGCCATCGCGCCAGGATCCACTCTGCTCCCACCCGTGGTGCCAGCGGGCCTGGCCCGCCCTGGTGGCAGTGCCTGTCCGGACACGGAGGCGGGCTGGGCCTCTCCTCCCTTCCCTCGTCCCTTCCCTCCCGCCCCCCACAGTCTCCAGCCTCTGTTCTTTGTTCATGTCATCATGGGCTGGGGCCCAGGGCCCCCTGTGGCGGGCAGAGCAGGGGAGCAGCGAGGGCGGCCGAGGGCCCCAACGGCTCTGCCTCCAGCCCTGATCCACTTCCCAGGTGGCAGGGGCCCTACGAGCCCCGGCCCTTGTTCTGTCTGGGGCTATGTCTCTTGCCCCCACCACACCACCAGGGAGTACAGACATGGCTCCCACCAGCTGTCCCAACCCCACATCCCTCCCCTCCTGTTATCTCCACGGCGAGACCTTCACTTCTAACCGTTCTGGGGTCACACTTCATAGCTCAAGGCAGCCTCCCCGTCCCCTCTCCCCACTGCCCCACACGGCGGCCTCCCCGTCCCCTCTTCCCCACTGCCCCAGGTGGTATCCTGGGTCTCCCCTCCTTAGACACCTTTCCCACCCGCCAGGCCCAACGGTGCCCACTGCAGCGGGGGCCCCAGAGTCTGGGGTACTGAGTAGATACAGGGCAGGGTGGGTGCCTGGGAATTCCTGGGGATCCCTCTCAGCACGTGTGTGCAGGGGTGGTGTGAAGCTTGGGGAGACCAGAGGTGGCAGCTGTGGCCCTGCTTCCCAGTGCAACCTAGGCCCCCCATCTCCAGGCTGCCCTCCAGGCTTGTCACCGTCTGCTGTCAGCCATGGTGAGAGGCCTGCCCGCTCCCTGCAGGCTTCCCAAAGGCCTGCACTCCAGTCTCGCAGGGTGGAGAGGGTGTGTCCGAGTCGATGGGTGCCAGGGGAGCGGGGGGGGGTGCGTGTCCAGGCC